TGTCATAAGATGATATAAGGACTCCAAAGAAGCTATGAAATATCGCAGAGAATGGTGGACATCACCAGTGCAACTTCCACGAAAAATGTTCAAGTGGTAAGAGGTATGGTGCGGCTCAATCCGAAAAGATCGCTAACAAACGTAGTTTTGAAGCTAGAAAAAAGCTATGCCTCGAGTTGTGACTTTGCTGAGAAAAAGCTATCACTATAGATTAATAGTTTCCAAAATGTCTCACTCCATGCACCATCCATAAAGACAATCCGGTGTGAGAACTTTAAGATATTTTTCGAATGTTTACCTCGGGGCCCCAAAAGATGTTCTTCGGTGAAATGCCGTTCTTCAAAACTCACCCTCCGATGAAAGGACTTTTCCTAGGGACGAAGGAACCTGACGATAGATGGAGAATTCGTGAATGTTACGGAAAGGCAACAAAATCATGGTTTGGTTTGCGATTAGCCATGAAGTCGTGTCTCCACTTGTTTTTATCAAAGAGGATACTTCAACTAAAGCAAAAGTTCCTGGAAGGGGGGCCGACTAACACCTCACTCTCCTAGACAGGGTCGTACAGTGACCCGGGCCGCTCGTGTTTCAGCAGGGTGCAGCACTGCAGATCGAAGGCGACGTCGCAGCACGGGAGAGCACCGGCTCCGGTCTCACATCGCCAATTAAAGGCAAACTCCGGGATAAAACGTGGGACTTACCTGTTCAACTATGAAGTACTGGGTGCTAAGTGAATCGAAGCTAAAAAAAAGCAGGAAGTACTCCCAAAAAAGTCCAAAATAAGAAATTTCTCTTCGTTAGTCGCTTAGAAGCCAGGGCTGGGAGAATTACGTGTTTGGACATGTCTACAGCAACTGTTGGCTTTGTGCCATCAACCGACACGGCTACAAAAAGTCAGCAATGAAAACTGATTGCTTCTAATTTCGCTATTTTTTCTATTTACCTGTGCTTTTTTGTTTTTTCCTATCTCAAAAATTTGATTATCACTAGAATGAATGACTAGGTTCTCGATAATGGTCTTAACATAGGCTTTTCGCAGTTGAAATCCGCTAAATATTCCTCTACGACCTTCCAAATAACAACTTAACATCTAGTGTTCCATGTGGTTGTTTGGAAGGTCGCATGGAACAGTGGGCGGGCTCAATGGGGTTGGGGCGGCGCCAATGCTCCAACCTAGGCTCCTAGCGCCTAAACCTTGTCAAATCGCCCCGCCACTTCTGCACATGGTCTGCCCTTGCGTACTGCTGCATATTTGACGGGAAAACCTAAATTTCGCCAGAAATCCCGAATTTGCCTTTAAGATAAACCAAAAGGACTAAGACTGCACAGACCATTCATCGGCCTGTCATCTTCGATTTTGATGACAAGCGGAATGTTGGTTGAATGGCTGCATTCCAACCTGGCCTCTAGCGACTACAGAGCCTCCTGTACTATTTATGATTTCCCGCTTATGGAATGAGTAAGTGCTCCAATCCAGAAATAGTAGCTACGCATTTGGTGATTGATGCTGCTCGGCGAACTAATAAAGGTCATCAACTAGCGAGTGCCTTTTTCACAAGTGATCCAAATGAGATCACCACTCACCTTTTAACTCCCTCGACGTTATCGGACGCGAGCGTCGTGTAATTACAGAGGGCGTACTGAAGCCAAAGCACACTTTGCCATTCTCAGACAGTGAGCAGGAAGTGGTGAAACTTGAACTTCTTCGAGCGGATGTGGCCTTCTTTGATGAAAATTTGCTCAAAATCGGATGGATTTGGAATCTGCATGTCTTCGCTCTCCCATTACTATCATGGCTGAATGAGCTCCAATCAGAATGATAATGTTCTTTTGGCTTACGTTTCGGCGCTGTCACCTTCTCCAGAGCTTTTAGAGAAGTCGACCAATGTGATCCACTTGCCACTACCCTACACTGACATGTTCTGCCCGATGGCTGGTGAAACTGTGCACCCAGAAAAGGAAATCGAAAAATTATTTCTAATAGTTTTGCTAATTTGGTTTCTTCCATGCAAAGTTTTTATTCAGTTCCTACTCCGCGCTTCCCGTTAAGTCTCGGAGGAGGAAACTGTGGGCTCCAGATTCGATAGGATGGTCAGGCACGGGGTTTTTGGAAGAAAACACACTTGAAAAAACGAAACGGCTTGCCTAACTACAGCAGCAGATAGCTTTTGCAGAGGACTTAATCGCACAGCATATAAGCTCAGATCCAGTCAAGGCGATTGCTATCAATTTTAGTGCTAGTTTTTGCTAGAACAGGATTTATGAAGTTAAGAGAGGAGCCGCTCGGGCGCGTCTGATGGCGATAAAATCTCGGACATTGCATTGCTTGGGCTCCGCGAATATCTACAGTTGTTTGATCGCTTGCAGAGGCAAAGGTTGCCTCGCTGAACTTTTTGGTATTTCGTAAATTTATATTCAAAAAAGGGGTATGAATCGCTGCGTCCGCTGAAAGCAGATGTAGTAATTCTGACTGGCCTGCAGTGAAAAAAGCAAAAAAAGAAACAGCTGAAAACCATTAAAATTACCTTGCGTTGATAGTTTTAACAATAAGACTACTAGCGACCTACTCCTGGATCAGCTTCCTTTTTACTATAACATGGTGAGCAACTGAATCTGATTGCGGGAGTAGTTGGGCTGGCACTGTGGGGTGCGCCTTCAAGGAAGTTGTCGATGCAGCAACCCCAGATGGATCCATACTTTCACTGTTATGGAATGAAAAGATGAGCGAGCTCTGAGGAGTGAGGAGTTGAATAGGTGCTAATTTTGGTCCGTTTTTCCTTTTGGTCCTTCTAGCAACGCCCATTTGCTGGCCGTGGAGACCGACTGTTAGCTGCATGGCCGCGACTAATTCGAATACGCGCGGGTTAGTGGCACTGTAAAGCCAGTTTGAAAAGTTTCTCCGGTTCAGTTTCTTTCTTATCTCAAAGAGGGCTAGAGGAAATACTTGTTAATGGCTTAAGTGGTGGTTTGCTTTGGCTGCTTTCTTCATTCGAAACAGCATCTGTATTTTCATTATCGACCGTTTTTACCCCGATTTGATCTAGGGTTGTCTGAATGTTGGAAAATGTAGGTAGCTTGTCGAAAAGTCTGGGCCGGAGAAGCGAAATTGCAGTGCAGGCATCTTTTGTGTCGTTAGCTCGATTGGTGGTTTGCTTACGCAGGCTGCGCAGATCATCCTCTGATGCATTAGCTAGCATGTTTCAATCTTCCTCTCAGAAAAAGCCTGAAAGAAGGGTAGCTGCAATATACTGCTGCAAACATTATGTTCAAAGGTCAGAATTCATATTGGCAGATGAGCAGCACTACTATTCAGCGTCGCTGTAGTTGCTGTTTTGCACATCACGCCATGCCTTCACACAAGCCCACCAGTGGGTAGCCTATGGTCTCACAATGGCTTTATGGATTCCAGTGTCACTTGCCCTCAATTCCGTCAACAAGTGATTACACTGCATAGTAAAATAAATTGAGTATGTTATAGGTGTCCTTGTGAAAATGTGCCTTCTCACATAGCGACGATTTAAAATGGACTCTGTTTGGAGTGGTGTCCTTATGATAGTGGTAGGTATTCTAATGTTTCTTGCAGAGATAAAAGGAAATTACTACTCGTTTCCAGAGCGTCGTTATCTGCCTAATTTTTTGAATACCATTCTCTAATTTCAACTTTGATTACTTCAGGTGGGAATACTTGAGTATTGTTCCAATATTGTTCGTGATGACGAGGCTGCTTATACTTCGTCGACGCCTTCATCCATTTCACTATTTGATCCTGTCAAAACTCGCAGCCGACGCTATCGAGATTCTTCTTCCGATGATGACGTTTTCGGCTTCGCAGTTACTGTTGTGAGCTGGCAATATTAATAGGCATTCCTTTTTTACTTCACTTTCTATTACTTTAAAAAATTCCGTTTTATCAAAACGTTTCCGATGTCTGTGCGTGATGACTCGAAGTAAAGGCAAGGGTCGGGCTCAATTTCACTTCACTTTTCCGTGGAAGGTGCTAGGCCCGTCTCTTCAATTGCTCCACTTTTGCGCTTGTAAATGCGTCACTACGATGGTAGGCGCTCGGAATTTGGATCCCCCTGCCATTAAAAAGATCCATGCCACCCACCATTCGATATCTTATCTTATCTGTGTGGTAACGTTGACCTGCTATCGACTAGAACTTTTCTTCCCTTTCACACTATCACTTGTCTCGCTGTCTGCTTCTCAGGCTTTCCCGCAGTGTAGAGCGAATACTTTCGTATTTGATCTTTTGAACAAGTTCGGCTTCAGCATTTTTTGTTTTACTGTGGGAGCATCAAAGTAGCGTTTAGTAGTCTGGGATTTTTTTCAGTGTTATCTGTGATTAAATTTTTCAGCGGTCAATGGCTAGGTGTTGAAAATGAACTCGTTATTGGCTATCTAGCGTTATCACTGCAGTACTCCAGTATATATACCTCTACGGCAATGACCGTCAATCGGCTCATTGCTGTTGTTTACACGCATGAGTACAATAAATGGTTTAATAAAAAGACAACAATAATCTGGATTATAGCATGCTGGATGATCGCATGGTCTCACAATATTATTCATTTGAGAGGCCAGTTTATTTTTCAGTAGCCTTGAAAAGAATGGAGCTATTGTGTGGGCTTCCTTGGATGTTTAAGAGCTTCGAGTTGAGAAGAATTCCGGAAATTTTCCAGCGAGAGTCAAGTTGTTGCAAGGATGTCGCATAGTGTGCGTGATCCCGCTGCCACAAGGAGCGCGGACAAAATCGCGGAAGAACTAGTACGGTAGTGGAAACCTCAGGCAGTGGGAGAGTTAAGGATGGCTGTATAACGGGTTCACGTACTGCATCAAACGCCAGAGATCCAGCACCACCATCAATTCTCCATCTCCACGGTCTGCTCCTACGTTCTTACGGCACATAGCCGTTTCGTCGGTCACAACACCATCCTTTCAAGTAAATCTCGCTAGAGCACTTAGTTGCTGCCAAATCAACCCCGGAGCGTGAGCATGATTGACGGCTATGCTACCCATGTTATTTATGGGCTGAATCAGCGTCAAGTAGTTTTGCACTCTGCGACTGAGCGGGACTAAAGTTCGTGACTAGAAGAAGATAGGAGTGAAATAGACACCATTTCCAAGCCACAACGAGTGGGTGGGCCAAGAAGTTCGTTGCGCTAATTCACTATTGATTAGTCCTTCCCGAAGTCTTACATAAATGTACCAGTGTCGAGCACATTCCTTCCAATATTATGTAGATTTAATAATTGATTATTTGTTTGACTATGGTCTTTGGCCATACACTTCTGCATGTGCGGAATTTTTGATTTTTTTTTTCGAAAAATGTACTACAAAACGTGTTGAAGCATTGGTTGACTTCCTCAGAACATATCTGCCGTAGCATCCCGCAGCGACGACAGTGAAGAAGGTCCATGTCTGTGACTGAGTGAGAGCATACTCTGATACTCTCGCTTCATGAACTCAGGGGAAATTATAAGTGTAAGCAATGCTGCAGGAAGTCCATGTATGGCCTTGACGGTCCTTCATCACGTGATAAAAATTTAGTTTTTCAAATACTTGAAAGGAAACAAATATCTGCTTAACCTGTACGACTTGGATGCGAAGGTTCCTTTGATGCTCACAGAATAGAATCGTGGGAGGATCCGAGAACTGGCAAAGGCGTTTCATGATGAATGTTCTGTTATTCATAGGCCAATAGTCGTTCCTTAATATTGCTTAAGCGTTAAAAAATAAAAAAATAGGTTGTGGTGAAAGGATTTGTAGTGATCTGAGTGCCGCGCCCTCTCAGGTGACAAGTCTGCCAGAATTTCCGTCGGTCTCGTTTCAAAAAATGGCATTCACAAGTCACATAATGGCTACTATGTTGGCGATAATGGTCGGGCAGAAATATGCTAATTGTTGACTGTGCTAAAGAAGAAAACGTTTTAGAAAAGAAGAAAAATGGTCAAAGGCTTTTGCGACAATCTAAACGACGGGATAATTTATTTCAGAAGACTGTAGCTTCACATTCGACGCACAATTACGGCAGTTTACCTTCAGTGATCAACAGTGTGGGCGCGCACTTTCTCTTTATCAGGATTTGATCTACAATGTTACCTTGGCAGTCGTTAGTACCTTTGCCGACATTTACTGCTTGCTAAAACTGAACTACTACAGAAAGGTTCTCATCTGACCACATTCAGTGATGTAACTGAATTATAACAATTGTGCATATATGTGTTCAGAAAACTGCTGCCGCTCCTGTACGGTCGAGAAGAGAAAAAGCATGGTTCCTTCAGGTGCTATTTTTGATTTAATTCTATAATGTCGCCTTGAAGCTGATGCAGAATAAGGGAAGTCTCTTGTAAATGTGAAATTTATTTAAGACCGCAGCAAAGATCGCCCTTCTCTACGTATTAATGTTGGTCTCATTCCATATTGCTGAGTCTTTCGAGGGAGTTACATCACGCTTCATTCTCACGGTAATCGCGTGGCAAATATGGCTCGGATCAACCCCGTGAGTCTTGCAAGATACCTGGATAATCTCCGTCAAGTAAGCTTTTGACGCACTGAAATGTAGCGTACTACTCCCTATTAAAGTCATTTCCAGATAATATCGAACATATTGTCTTTCGCAATATGAGCTACCTTCACAGTCCAATTTATTATACTAGCAGTTACCTCTTGAAGGACGAATTCACGATCAGAGGGAAAATCGAATTAGGAAGAATTCACCTGGTTGAGGGACCCGCGGAGCTCCTAAGTGTGCGAACTGAAGCACAATTTGCACAGGAGGAGTTGACCTCGTTGACCTATTAAGGTTTAATCCCGCCGCGGCTGGTCAGTGCACGCCCACCGATCATCTGATCACTCGCCGCAGGTCTATACGTGGTGAGTGATTAGATAGGTGAGAGAGCGTAGCGTTGAAGAGGGCACAGCGATGATAGTCGCATCAATGCTCAAATCAACGGGCAAGGAAGGGGTCCCATTTCTCGGGTTCTGGGCCGTTTCTCATGGTTCTTCCTTCTTTCGTGTACCACTCACCATCGCCTAAGGTTAATTTGAAATGGGTTGCCTTTCCAGCGTGAATTCGTCCTTTAAAGGCAAGATTCAAGCCTAAATTGATGAGGTAACTTTACTCAAATGTGATGTAGGGGTGGGAGGTGGACCGCCAGTGGAGAAAAAGGAAAAAAAATCGTGAAATACACAGGAAATACGAGCCTTTTGCTCTACGTTGCGGAGAAGTTCAAAAGGCCGGCAGGGAGATGAGAGATAATGTGAGCGCGGAGAGCGGTAGAGAAATCCGAGAAGAGAGAGCATAGCAGATCAGCATTGCGACGCAGACAAAATATCGAGCGGTGGGCGGAGCGTGTCGCAACAGGTGGAGCGTGTCAAAGTCCTTGGCCCCTAGCGCCTTAGTGACGCATTTGGATGCGGGAACTTGGCGAGTCGCCTGCAGTTGCGTCCCATGCACTTCTAGCCACTTAAGGGCTTATTAGGTGGGTCTGAGCCCGAACTTTGCCTTTAAATGTCAAAGAAATAATATGCAAGAGCATGGCTGATTTGCACCCCTTTTTCTATTAGTTTTCAAAGCCAGCCCGGAAAGTTTCAAATACGCTTTGTTCGCCGCCGACCATTTTAAGCTCATCCTCTCTGAAACGATGATGTTGTAATGGCACGTGGCCTCACGCACACACACCGCTCGTACAGTCCAGGAATCAACTTTCAGAAAAATTGTTGCTCGTTGCTTTACGCCATTATCGATCTCTCATATCAATTTCCGACAAACTACTATATCAGGCATAGCGCACGCCTCCTCCATCCACCTTGAGCGGTAACAAGGCTGAGCCAGCCATGACAAGACAATTTGGCTGTTACGAGCCCTCGGCTGAGCTCCGAAAATTATCTATGTCTTTCTGAGTACAGCAATGTATTTTTGCAATTATAGATTGAAAGCAATCCCGGCATCACCCCGACTAGTAGGGAGACTACGAGGGAACTGTGGAGACCGTACCTACATAGATCATGCGGCTTCTTCGCAAATCGCTCGAATAGGGAGCTATCCATTACGAAAGCCTACAACCATCGACTTCCGTTGCAACCTCTCCATCCACCGCGATTGACGAAGTGATTAGGTGCTAGGTCGAACCGCTGGCTCGCGCTTGCTTGTCTTCTTTGATCCTGATCGCGCCCATCGTATCACTTCCGATACCCAGGGAAGCTCAAGGCGCAGCGTTCCTCGATTACTTCTCTGCGCTTCTTCCACGTCTGTCTATTCCCCCCCAGCTGACGCGCTCATCATCACCAGCGGAACCCCGGCGGTGAACGGCCCTTATATCGCTACTTTTATCCCTGAGTCTTCTGCCCCTATTAGGGTTCTCCGTCGCATAGTGGTCCACTTGCAATTTGATCTGTTTCCCTGCGAGCTTGTCTTATCGATGACATAGTAGAAGCTATGAGCCTTTGTAATTTTTGAAGAGAGCGATTTGAACTGCTAGTAGTTGTAGCAACGATAACTTACCCTACCACTGCTTTTTGCAAGTGCTTTTTCATTGGTCAGCGAAATGCATGAATCTGCACTAGGTGTGAGTCGCAGTGAAATGGGATCGTTTACTTGACCCGATAAAAGTGGAATTGGTTCCTCATTATATATCTGAGTTTCGGAGGAGAACCTTCAATCTTCTTCTCGGAGGAGAACCAGTCCTTTCAAACTTCTTCTTTATGTTTTTAATTACTTCTGTATTTTTACAAGATATGATTTCTAGATGAGGTGTGTATTCATTCCGCACATGCTTCAAGACACGTAATGTCGGGACGAATACTGTGTTATTCTCCTGCACACCAAACTGACAAAGCTACTCGCGATTTTCTTCCAGGTACATAATCTTATCCATTGAGAAGGAATTTCGGGCTCCACTCTACAAGCTGTGGAATTGTCGACATAAGGCTGGAGTCTCCCCTAGTTCCGTACCGTTTTGAATTTTCATTAGATCGTCGTTCACATTCGTTGCCTCAACATGTACACATTTGCATAAATATCAACATTTTCGAAATTGCTGTACAAATTGATTACACTACAGAGATTTCAAAGATAGCAGTGTCTAAGTCTTCAATGCAGCCGCCCAAAAGTGTTGTACTTTGTAGTCCTTCATTACCCTTGAAAGGGTCACTACAATATTTTCTGAAATTCAATCTTCGATCTAAATCTAAAATCTAATCTAAATTGACTGGATCCACCATAGATCTTTTGTCAACAGCACAGTACAAAGGTGACGAAAGATGGATACTATTTGCCACAGCAAGCGAGAAGGAAGAAGGGTAGACCCGTAGATGTTCCTTCGTGGGCTGATCTCAAGTCTACTTTACGAATCTGCCACTCCCTGTACGGGGTTTGAAGCGTAAGAGTACGGCGCCTTCTAACCTCAAAATTTTTTAAAGGGGGTACAAAAACGAAAACGAACCCTTCGAAAAAAATCCTTGCAAATCACTGAGGAGAGAAGAAGGAAGAAACTGCGAGACTGAGGCTGTTGGAAAAGCACGTGATCTTTTTCGAATCCTTGCTCGAAAAATACTCCTGATGTGCTGTTTGAGTAGGGGTAGGTTGAGGGCCATTTTCGCGTATCCGAGGACCCATGCATTTTTGTGCTCGTTCATAACTTCATTGTCAACCCCTAGTAAATACCTCATGCTATGAAGTATCAGCGAGATTAGTGTCGTCGGATAAGTACCAGCTCTTGGAAATTCATTCACGCTACTGTGAGGATCACTCCAGTGGTCTTTCTTCCATGAGCTTTTCGTTGTATTCCCCTAAGAACGCATGTTTTAAGGGGAATACGACGTTGGTAAACTCTCAAATACTCATAAAATTTTTAAGAAGCACGCTCATTGTGTTACAATATATACTGAGTTCGACTGCAAGCATTTGAAATGAAGACATCCATTTAGCTAGAATTTATACTGTCTTTCCACCAGGGTCGGAAGTTTTTTTTGGTGATTTACCAACGATGGGCTTCGTATTTGAGTTTTTCGGGGGGGGGGGTGAGGGGACGTTTTGTTATTTCGTTTTTGTATGTTGACGATGGCAGCATAAGGATAAATTTGATATTTCCAGATCGTGGAACTCGATGCTGGAGTGGAAATGGGGGGAAGCTCTGTTTTTGGGTGGTTTTTTGACATCTTACTTACTATAAAGCGCTTCGTTGACGTTCTATGTATCACGGCGATGTACGGAGTTCCCTACTTCTGGATGGAGAGACCGGATCAAGTGTGACATGGGGGGGGCCATATCTCTAGAAGTACAACATACATCAGCTAAGTGAAGTCCCACCTACAGTGGGGGTGCCGTGCATCGAAAGAAAAACTGAGGACGAGAATTTTAAATCCGATTCTAACAGCCCAGAGTCCTACGGAAAATGGGTGAAGAAGTGCATTCATAAGCCAGATCGAATTAGAGAGACCCACCTGCCGGTGGGTGGGAAGTTCTTAGAAAAAAACGATGCTCAATAAATAAATCTATAACTTGATTACGAGAAAACCTGTAGAGCAGAAACAAAACTGCGCCCAGCATACGTGATGTGAGCGAAGGCCTGCCCACAATGGGCGGAGCGTGTGCCGAAGTGGAAGTATTTCCTACAAGTCTTCGGATCTCTGTTCGCAGAAGTCTCAGAAATCGGTAACAGGATAGAGGTACGGGAAGAAGGGGATCTATAATAGGTGTAGGTAGTGGATGTGGCGTGCACCAAAGTAGGCGGGGTTTGCTTACGATTTTGTAACGATCCCGAGATGATCCCGAGACCGGTATAGGTTGGTGTGGAAGAAAGATGGAAGATAGAGGTTGGTGATGAAGACATGATCAAGGCTATCGGTGGGCGTGGCATGCATCAAAGCGGGCAGAGTGTGCAACAAATATTACAAATCGTCTCTGAAGCAGTCCAGAGACCGGGAAAAGAACAAGCAGTGGTTTACGAAGAAGTGAGGGTCCACAGCTGGGCGTTCATGCGAAGTGGCGAGGGCAGCTAAAACCTAAGTCGAGATATAATACAGAGATAGCACAGAGATCGAGAAGACGGCGAGTAGAATCTAACTCAGAGGGCACGTCAAAGGGGTAGTTCATAAGGCACTTATTCTTGATGTATTGGGTTTGAGAGGAATCTTTGCCGCACCATTCCTTATCGCCGCAGAACTGTGTTGTGCGCGCAACCGCGTGGTTTTTGATGAGAATTGCATCGATGGGTTGGATAGGCAGAATTAGAGCGTCTCCTATTTAGCCCATTCCCTCCCTTCATCATCACCTCCTTCTACCCTCCCCATCCCCGCTCGATAGCAGTTTGAAGGAAAAAATGGTTGGAGTTAGGGCTGAATTAGATGGCCTCAGAATCAAACGCATACATAGAAACATAAATAGTGATGAGGGCGGCGGGTGGCGGTGCGGGATTGTAGGAGCACGGTTGTGGAGGGTGGGGGGGGGGATTTCCTGAGTGTTAGATTTTTCTCGCTGTCGCGGCTGACTCTTTAA